TAATTGTTTGCACTCTACTACATATCTCCTTTTCTTTCTGGATGGATAAATTATTTTCACCCCTAAAGCAGCCATGAAACGAGTACGCGCGGAATGTTATCATGACTTTCTGGGTGTGATTCCTATAAGTGAGAAGCATTATGAATGCCCCCGGGTCGGCACTTGCCTATTTAAGCGAGAAAATCCAAGGTTTCGACCTCGTTTGCTCAGGTTCGCTGTACCAGTCAGTGCTAGACGGATTTTTGACCCAACCCACCTCCCCTTCGGCGACGTTTCTCCATTATAACAGTTCAGTCCGGTAGCTTAATCACAGCCTCGGCAAAACTCGTGTTCCCAAAACTTAACCGCGTGTATGAGGTGAATGGCTGCTTTGGCGGTGAAAATGATATGATATGCTATACCAAATACCATTTTGAGAAAAGCTTTGGCTAAGAATCCCATCGGCGTTTTCGTACAATTCGAACACTGGAAATAATGACGATGAATGTAATTATTCTTGCCAAACACAGGTGATGGTGGATGTAGAGCACTTGAATTTCTTCCATGTTGGCAAGACTACACCTTCATCAATCACGTGATCAAGTTCTTCAGATTCCTAGCTCCTGGAATAGAAGAATGTCAGGACAAATGTTTTATTGAAAGCAAATGCATTTCGTACAACTTGGGTCCAATAGAAGGATTGACAAGAACATGTGAACTGAACGAGGCTGATCACTGGACCCGACCTGGCCAGGAGGTACCCAAAGATGGTTTTCAATACTGTCCAATCAGGGTGAGAGAAAGGCTTAGCTTATTTTACTACCTACTGACATTTCTTTTTTCGCGTTATCGTGAAAGGAATCAATCGAAATAGTATCGTTTATAAATCGTCGATACCTTAGAGTGACCACAGTAAATCCGTGAAACACTAATTACTATATAGTACTTAAAACACTCATGAATAATTCATAAGCTTATGGTCCAATTGGAGCCACCATACACGTCACGTGCATGAACCTTTATAACCGATAAAGTCCTCTTCATTAGTATTCAAGTGATTTTATATAAAGACACATGTGATCTTTATTTCTCATACTCATTAATTATTCATGAGGTAACTAGCCAATCGATTACCTCGTACCTGGTCACATGATGTATCTTGAAACTAGGTCAAGTGTCTTAAAGCCGGGGAGGGTTTTGATATCAGCAGGGAAGAGGTGGGGCTGATGAATTGGAACAAAAGAAATTAATTCAGTCGACCAACAACTGG